TATTTTTTATTTTTTTTTATGTTGAAATGGTGAATCACAATGTATTTAAAGTGTATATTTACCTTTTTTTTTCCATTCAGAGATGTTGTGAGTGGTTTTTATTTAAGCTGAGTGGAAAACTGGATCATTTCCAGTATTACAAATTATTCCAGTATAATCACTTTCAACTGCATTTTGTTACAGTAACTTCACTACCAAATTACTCAATTTTAATCATTTGAAAAGAATATGTTGTATTTGACAAGATACTTCTAATATTTCTCTCTGGAAAAATACTCAGAAGGATGCTTCTGAATATTGAAAAGGCCGAAAAGAAATTACTTCTACACAGTTATTGACTGTTGAATGAATGGTGTCTCTGCATTTAATATCCTTAGGGAGTAATGACTTCTGGTAATTTGAGGTAAGTTATCATTTAACTTTCTTTTTTTTTTTTTTTTTTTTTTTTTTACAGCGCAGCAGAAGAAATATTGTTGGATACTTTGAGCAAAAAGACACTGACAATTACAGAACCTTTGAAAGAGTAGCGAATATTTTGCATGATGATTGCATATTCCTGTCTGCCTTTGGGTAAGTTTTAAAATCTGTTGATTGCATGACTTCATTATTGAATTTATGTTAATAAGTTGTTAATAATTGGACTTCTTTAATACTTTCAGTGTGGCATAACTGAAGAGACTAGACCTTAAACAGATAAATACATGGAAAGGATAGGAGGAGAAAACTCTTCCTAACCTTAATGTCTACTGTGAAATACAACATTCTTTTTTCTTGCCTCATTTTTATTTTTTTTCACTCTTTGTCAGTATAGTATAAATGTAATTGGGAAGGTTTTATTGGGGAGTGCTAGACAGTTGTGTCTCAAAAACCTACTAATTTGAAGGGAAAGGAGAACAAGTAAGGAAGAGTTAGAAAACATTTTGTTAAAAATGTTATCAGCTTTGCAGACTGAGTAACTTCCTTTTTTTAACCTCTTAATTGTTTTTTCTTTAAAGAAATTACAATTTTTGTAGCTTTTTTCCTTCTTTTTGTAGTAGGTTTTTTTTCCTCCCTCATTTCCCCTTTTTCTTTTTCTTTTTCTCCCCCTCCCCCCCCCCCCAAAGAATAATTCAGTAGTTACTTGCTCATTTCCTTTTGATGTCAGGGGAGAATGTCTTCTTCCATAATGCCTGATTTCTGTGCCTGGGTCTGTTTCATGTGAATTCTATGTCACTGCACATGGTAACAGTTTAGCAAGGCAATTGCATTGATGAGCTACATGGTGTAAGTCTAGAAGAAGAACCTACAGAAATTCGAATTTCTCACTTCTTATAAAGATTTATAGTGATATTTAAAATATGAAAAGACCTTTCCTGGAAGAACAAGAATAAATTGGGAGTGATTCCCTTTTTAAGTAGCATAATAAAATGCAGTTGTTTCTGCAGTGTTTAATCTGCTACCACCACCCAATTTAAAGTGATTGGGCATTGTCATGAATGCAGTAGTTTGTTGCAGTATACCCCAAGTTGCAAGATCAGAGATTTGCTTGGGTTATACTAGCTTTTACACCATACACAGCTGCCTTAAGAGTTTTGTGAATTGGATGTGAAGAATAGCAGAGAAACTGAGAGGATGTATCAAGGTAGAAGATGTTTCATCTGTTTGAACAAAATTTGTTATCAGTCATTGATGCCTCTTCATTACGTCTCCAAGAAAAGATTTGGGAGTGGGGGAGGTATTTGTAATGTGCAGGAGTACATGTGGCTTTCCTTCAGTTCCCTGTTAGGTATCCTATGACTGTGTAAGCAGCCTTGGCTATGAGAGAACCATATATCTGTACACATATTTTGTAATTCTGTGGTCTGTCGGTCTGTCAGTCTTATCCCTAAAGAGTGGCCATTATGTTTTCTGATGTGTTTATCCATGCTTGTTCTCAGGGCAGCCAGTCTGAGTTGTTATTAGAATTTTAAACTATTTTTGCACGACCCTTGTATGTCTTTCCATTCTTTTCAAGAATGCTTTTGAAAAATCCTTAGGAAGATAACAATAGTTTTAATATTTTCTTTTCTGTTGTTTGAGTCTGTTCATCTTTGATTTAATATGTGTTAACCTTGTATAATGAGAAAGAGTTTCCCGCAGCTTGGTGTTAGCATTTGGTTGATGGACACCATTCTTGGGGTAGTTACTCTGGGTTTTCTGTTTTTTGTTTTTTCTCTAGACATGGTTAATAAGCAGGCATTATAGAACAAATCAGGGTTTGATTATTTGTAACCTGACCATGTAACTACAGATTGCAAGCTTGTCATTATTCTCTTCTACAGACTCCCATTCAGTTTCTAGCCTGGAGCTGGCAGTGTTTGACAGTACAGCCTTCCAGACAGTGACCTTGGAAGCTAAGTTTTTTCATCTCTGAGTTGCTGTGGCTCTCAAGCTTCCTAAAAAATTACATGTGAAAAGACTTCCAAGGGAGATGCTGGCTATATAGCAGTGTTTTCTATTCAGATTATTTCCAAATATATGTATCAAAATGTCTCATGGGGAGCTGGCACTGATCAGTTGAACTCTTGTGACTGAGCACCCTAACCGCCCCCAGGGGGGGCTTTTGGTTATGCTATGGACAGAGCTCAACAGGTCACAGGTTTGGAAGATACACGGTAATGTGAGCTGTCATGTTCAAACTTCTAGTAAGCTAAAATAAACTCTAAATGGTCAGTTTAACAGGAAAAAATTACTTCAACATCTGTCAAGCCAGAACTGTTCCCTGCTATGCTAAAATTATTCTGGCTTTAGGTAGTTGTAATAGCATATTTTTAAACTGTATTAATGCTACTTAGTTGCAGATCATTTTGATGCTTAGAACTAATCTTGAATCAGCTGTTCCTTACAGTTCTGTTAAGATCTGAGGTGTCTGCAGAGCAAGATTAATGAGGAAAGACTTGTAAGCAGGAGGAGATAGGAGAGATACTAATGAAGATAATGTTAGAGGTAGATTTTAAAAGTAGAACTGGAGAGGGATAAATGTTGATAGACATGGAAGAGAATGGCCTTGTGCCTGTGAGCCAAAGTGTAAGAAGCCAAATGCAGACAATCAAAGCAAACAGCAAAAAAAAAACAACTTTCTTTTTATCTTAAGATGAACTGTAGGTAACTCATGGAAGAGTGTGACTAATCTAGGAACTGTTTTAATTGCACGTTAGCAAGCAAGTATGGGGCAAGGGGGTTGTGTGCTTCCAAGGTGTTCTCCTGTGTTGCTGCTTTGAGAAGACACAAAATGCAGACTTGAAGTGTTTCCATTTTGGTGGTTGTTTCAAAAAGGTGTATCTTCAGGTGTTTGGGGGTTTCACATCATGTCGCCACTTTGAGCAGGGGAGACAAATCAGTCACAACTACAGCTACTGATGTGGAGGACCTTTTGGGGTCCACCGCAGGCTTACCTCTAGAGCATATATTTCGTTACGTATTATTATGAGTTTACCAAGCAGTGATTAGGCAGGTGCCTCTGATATCTTTCTTCTTAAGGTGTGAAGGACTTTGATTTAAGCATTATGGTGTCTTTATTTTTTTTCTTGGCCCTCTAAATTGTTCAGACCCCTGGAAGATTTACCTTGTCTTGCTGTGAGATAAATTGAGATATTTTTACTACTTTCTTACCTTTTCCCTTACATCTCTTAATCAGTTTTCACCAATGCTTATATTGAGTCTACAGAGCAGATACTGTAATTGGAGACAGTGGAACTTGGTTAACTTTTCCCAGAGGCTGATATGCTTTCTGTTAACCTATGCTAAAAGGAAAAGAAATACATAGTTCATTTTACTGTTTTGTGGCATATGCAGCCAGTCAGCTCTGTTTTACCAACATGAGTTATGTTGGAACAGCAAGGAATGGGAGAGTAGAGGGCAGGCCTCTTTAGATGTCTGAAGGTGGTGAAAAGGTTTATTTTTGTTGAGATCTTTGTTCTTTTTTTCTTTTTTTCCTGTCTCCTGTTGGGTGCATATCTGTCCCCATTTGATTGAATAAGAGATGATAATTTTGGAGGTACAACCTGACAGCTTTTAGGGCACCGTGTTAGGACTGGGATTAAGGAACTGCAAAATGTTCCAGAGGCAGGAAAGGAATTTACTAAGGTGACATAGGCAACTGAATAGCAAGGAGGAATTGCATGTGTTCTCAAGGTACACTCCATATCATCAGTGGTCAGAAGATGCATGCTGTGACTTGTGCTCTCTAGATATATTCTGAGGGTAAAATGGACAGTGTGGGTTTATTTGTTATCCATTTGCTCACTGCTTGTGCTGGTAGAGCACCTCAAAGCCCTTCTTTATCAGGGTAGGTAAGATGTAAATTTTTAGTGTAACCATGGAACAGGAAGAGTAAATGTAAACAAGAACCAACCTTTCTCTCCTTTCCTTCTTTAACAATAGCTATTTATATAATTTTTTAATTTCCATGATTTTTTTTTTTTAATTACATGATTCTGTTAATTTTGTTAACATCTTCCTCTGATGGTCTCATACCCAAAATTGTACCCACATTCATCAGTTGCACTTTGATGCCTTTAGCCCACAGTTCCAATCTTGCTGACTCTTTTAATGCCCTTTTGTCTGGCCACACCAAGTTTCTGTGGTGTCACTTCACAGTTCACTTTAAAGATCAAGGATTTTAATTCTCAAATTTTGAAGGAAAAGAAAAGAAGGAAAGATAGCAAATTAAATTATGATATTTGGTATCTCAGTTATTTCATTTGTCTGTACCAAGACATGCTTACTGGTTGGTTTGTTGTAGGGCTATTTCAAAAGCAGAGAGATTTAGCGGAGACAATGTAATCTACAAGCCACCAGGGGTAAGTGTAACTATGTATTTTATTCTGCTTATTGTCATTATATGTGAGTATGAACGAATGGAGACTATATTCAGATAATTCGGTATGTTACTTCATCTCAGATCTTAATTTTGTTTCATCACTAAGGAGTGTGAGAAATAGGATCATAGAAACTAGCATTTCTAAGTCAGTGAAAAAGATCTTGATTTCATTTGTTGCCAGTTAAATGCACAAAACCTGTAATTTTAAATGTCAATGTCCAGAAGTACATTGTGGTTTGTTTTTTTTCCCATAGAAACACACTGAACTCATTACGTGTGTAGATACTTTGTGTTCTGTAAAAGTCTTAAAAATCTGTGAAGTTCATCAGCTTTTTCAAAGCAAGTGACAATTACTAAGTATTTTTCTGACTGTCACTTGCCTGTCTCCTGTATCTTAGCCCACAAGGGTTAAGAGCTGTTCTCTTCATTAAAAAAATGGAGTTAGTACAATTCACCATATGTTAACAAACTCTCATAAACATACTGTAACTTGAGGAGAAAATCTGCAAGATTTGCTTTTTAGAAACATAATATCTGAAAATCTGCTGCTTTCTCAAATTTAATGTATGAAAAGAGTTGCTTGCAAATGAGAAATAGACAAAAAAAGACCAGGGGCAGGGGAGTTTCAAACCTGAAACCTTTTTCTGCAAAACCAGAATTTATTAGGTTACCTAATTCATGTGGGGTTTCTGAATTAAGATGTGCTTAATCACCTCCACAGCTTGAGAAGTCGTGCTTTGCTTCATGCTAACCAAAACTGTCATTACATCTAAAGATGGCAGCACTGAAATCAGAGTTAAAAGTTCTAGCAAATAAAGGAAAACTATTTATTCGTATCTCATTGGCAAAGCAAGTGTAAAATACTAGTTTCAAGTATAGAAATACTATTTCTCAACGAACAGAAGTCTTAATAGCCTAGGAATAGTCTAATAATAGAATTAGAGGCATCCCAAATTTGGAAACAAAGTATCTTTTCATTTCTTCTTTAATTTGTGTTAAAAAGTGAAGCAGACTGCATAAATGATCACATAATATTTATTTTGCTGTTGTACTTTTGTGACATAGTTAATCGAAATACTGCATGCACAAGGGTTGAATATTGGTGTAAGATTGGCTTTCAATATTTATACGAACACTGTTACTTTGTAGGGTAGATAATCTTATTTGAAGGTAGCAAAGTCATTTTTACTGTTTCTCAACCAGTATATTTTTCTCTTCAACAGGAAAATGCTCCAGATATGGTGTATTTAGGGTCACTAACCAATTTCGATTTGATTTATGCATGGACACAAGATAAATGTGTACCACTTGTTCGAGAAATTACGTTTGAAAATGGGGAGGTAAGAAATTTTTCTACTCTTCTGTTTTTGGGGTTTCTTTCTCAAAACCAAATTATCTCTTTCAAGTGCTCTAATCCATGCCAAAGACCTTTCTACATGCTTTGCTTTTGGCAGAAAATATCTGTTAGGTAATGTTTCTTCATTCTTCTGGAGCTTTTTTTGTTAGACTTGAAACTCACTGGAGGCAGATTTGTAGTAGTTTTGTGCACTCCCAAAGAAAGAGATTATAGAGTGTGGACACTTGGATGCTGAGAATGTGTTTGTGTTAGAATGTATGTCTGTAAGCAAGTCCAGAGGGAGGCCACGAGGATGATAAGGGGGCTGGAGCACCTCCCGTATGAAGACGGGCTGAGAAAGTTGGGGCTCTTCAGCCTAGAGAAGGGAAGGCTGCGTGGAGACCTTCCAGTATCTGAAGGGGGCCTACAAGGATGCTGGGGAGGGACTCTTCATTAGGGACTGTAGTGGCAGGACAAGGGGTAATGGCTTCAAACTTAAACAGGGGAAGTTCAGATTAGATATAAGGAAGAAGTTCTTTACAGTGAGGGTGGTGAGGCACTGGAATAGGTTGCCCAAAGAAGTGCTGGATGCTTAGTCCTTTTCAAGGCCAGGTTGGACGGAGTCTTGGGTGACATAGTTTAGTGGAAGGTCGTTTGGGGTGTCATGTGTTGGGGCAAGTCCGCCCTGCCTATGGCAGGGGGGTTGGAACTAGATGATCTTAAGGTTCTTTCCAACCCGAACCATTCTATGATTCTATTCTATGATTCTATAAATATGTATGGGGGTGTTACACCTTGGGTAGAATGTATTATTCATCTAAAGTAAGTATATATTACTTATACAGATGTTACGACTAAATGTTGAATTAAGATCCAGACTTAAATGTTATTTAAGTGCTTTTGCGCCTATTATGACCTTGAAAAATGCTTCTAGTCGGAGTAGAAAATACCTGTGTCAGCATGTCCATGACAGTTTGAAAGAGTAAAATAGTTGTTAACTATCCTTTTGTTATAATCAGATTTTAAAATTTGGTGTTGAAGTTAGTAGTAGAAAAAATGTGGTTCCAAAGTATTATCTAATAAACAAGCATATGAAATGGTGGCTGAACATCTATGGAATTGGCAGTCTTCTGGGAATTGTAATAAAACCCATGTGATTGGGGGAGTGGCGGCAGGGTGTCAATCTGTGATTAAGCACTGGTACCTTCTTAGTCTTTTTAGCTTCACGTGCTTTTTCCCTCACATTTCTTCTATTAGCTGTAATTCAGAAGATGGCATTTGGAATCTTGCTTTTAAATATTTCTTTTCTTGCTATCCTTATTTTCTTTCAAAGTTTTTCTGGTTTCTTCTGTAATTTCTCCTTTTTCATCTATTTCCAACTCCTTACTATAAATATTTTTGTAAAAATAACAGGAAAAAAATATTTACAAAATTAGCAAGTTTGTAGTAGCTCTGAAGGAGCATTTGTACATCTCCACAGCATCTGCCAGAAACTCAGGTGAGGTACATAATTAATAGATTATAGTATGTTGTCCACACTGGATTAAAAACCAGTCAGTCATGGTTCATTCTCAGTTTGCACACTTAAATTTTTTTTGTCCTGATCTTCAGTGTATGTAACGCTGCTGTTCTGGGCACATCAGGATACACGACATAGAGAGGATGCATGAAATGGTTTGAAGTACCTCTTCTAAGTACTTCTTTTAAGTACATCAACCCCACCAATTTTTATTTGACGGTTCTGTTATTCAAACAAATTTTAACTTCATTTGCAACTCAATATGTAAAAGATGCCACATGTTAACATCTTTAGCAGTGTGCAGCGGATTTTCAGTGTACTTTTCCCATGGTGAAATTGGATTCTGAGCCTTAGAAGCCAAGGTTCATCACTGGCATTGTGTTGTGGTTTTTCTGGTTGTTCTCTCAACCATTGATTCCTGTTTATTTGGGCAGATATTTACAATTCCAGTGTGAGGATTTACCTAGCAACATTTGTTTAAAAATTTGTTGCTGCCAGTACCCAAACAAAATTAAACATGCCAAAATTGAGGTACTTCTGCCTGCTGAGATACTACAGTACTTAAGTGGGCTCTTAATGCATACTGCACAATATTACAGGGTAAAAATATGAAGTGCTGTGACTGTTAAGCTGTGTTTATGGCACTAGAATAAGACAGACAAAATTTCTACCACAGACTTTTAAAATCAAAATTGGCCGTTGCAAACCACAGGTAGGGTTTTTCCCTCATTTCCTTTATTGTTTTCATTATCTGATTAAGTGTCACGGGCAAGCTAGCCAGGAAGATGCCCAATCTGAACAGTTCATCATTGTGACTTTAGACAATACATAGTAATTGAACTCTGAAGCACGGTCTTCTGCTTGAGAAGACCATCCATTTGCAAGGCAGTCCCTTTATGAGACAAGAAAAGGCTCTTGGGATCAGTAATATCAATCACTGTTTAACCTGTAATCTGGCTGGTTTAGTTCCATGTACTATAAATACAGTGAACCATATGGTGTAACGATGGTGCTGAACTGTAAGTTTTTGAAAGGGTGAAAAGTTTCTCAAAGACATACAGAAGTGGGAAGCTCGGATCTAAGAAAAAATCTTTGGATGTTCTCAGTGCCAAGTGAGATGGCAACTTTTGAGAGAGCAGTCCCAAGCAAGTGAAATAGCTCTTCTACTTGCCACAGCCTGATCAGTAAGACATGCTATGAAAGCTGGAATGGAGAAACAAACAAAGGCATGTACTTTATAGAAACCAGTTAGGGCCAAAATTAGGAAGGCTTTCAAGCCAGTTGTCTTAACAGCCTGTTGGAGATAATTGATCTTGTGACTATAACTCACCAAGGTTGTCCTTATAGCTGCTTGCATGCAAGAGAGGAGCTTGGAGCTAGAATACCCAGCTCTGCTTGAGAGTTCTCCCTTTGGAAACGTACCTGCTGAAACGAGTGAGGAAACAGAGCCATGATCATAGGGGTACAAAAGAGACTTTTTTTCCCCATTCTCCGGTAGGAGAGGAGGCTGAGACCCAGCCAAATTCACATGTGTAAAAATGAGAACAAGCAAATATGAGTAGTGATTGGTTTAGGGATGGATTGGGAAGTGTGGATTTCATTAAGAGCACTGAAGTTACGAAGGTCTTTGCAGTCTGCTGTTAAAAGACCAAGCTTCAACTTACCTGAAAGACTTGGTTAAAAGGAGAAGGGATAGCCATTTCATGTACACTGTATAACTGGCTGGCTCCTGGTACAGACGAAAAGCATTTCTTCCATCTTACTGCATTTAAAAAATAACTGCAGAATCTCTTCTATTTGGTGGCAGAACAAATGAGTGCTGTATTTATCAAAAAGCATAGATTTTATTCTCACACAGGCTAGAATCAAAGAAATGGCAGCACTTCTTACACCAGTTGTGCAAATGAACTGTAGTAATATACTTGCCTGTGAATTTAATAATCATGTTATACAGATGACAGGTCAGGACACACTTAATGGCAAAAGAGCAGTACTTGATTGTAACTGATACAGCTGTCATTAGCTTTTTTTATTTCCCCCTTTTTTTTTTCCTTTTTAGGATGGAGCTACTTAAAAATACTCATTTGTTGTGTTATGCTTAAGAGAACACCGACTTACTGCATGAACCAAGCTAGGACTGGGTCTAGAATACACCCTCAGTTTTTCATAGCATTTTAATTCTGTGCTGTTTAGGCCATATTGCTGTCTCTATAAAGATGGTGTGTTTTCTCAGAATAGGGCTACTTCTTTTGAGCAAGTATTCCAGTGCAAGTGTAGCCCTTCCTGAAATGTGGATAATGAATTCCCTTCATGTTTTATCTGTTGATTATGGCAGAGAAAGGAAACATGGTTAACTGTATAACTCTTAGATGAAGGGTCAGCAGTTAAGGTCTTTAGTCCTGTTTTTTTCAGCTGTGTTCAAATTAGAGATCTCACTGAATTTGAAAATTGCTGGAATCACTTGCTTAAGTGCCCTTAAGAAACAAGTTCTGCTGTTTGTTTTCTGTGCAGGAACTGACAGAAGAAGGCCTTCCTTTTCTCATACTTTTCCACATGAAAGATGACTTGGAAAGTTTAGAGAAATTCCAACAGGAAGTTGCACGACAGTTAATAAGTGAAAAAGGTTTGTAGTAACTCCTACTACTTCTTCTTTTTACCAGTATAATTTTTTTCAGGCCAACTCAGTAGAGTGGAAGCAAAGGCCAAACAGAATCCTAGCTTTAAAGTTCTTGAGACCAAAGGGCTTTATGTACTTCGGACAGTGAGGACCGACTGCTCTGGAAATGATTAAAATAGGTACACAATTTGTTAGTGAGAAACTTACTTCAGAAATCCTTCTTGTGTAAATGACTTAATGTAGCTTGAGAGGGCATTCAGCAAAACTTCAGTTTGTATTGTGGGCAAAACCACTTTAAGGAAGTCCGTTATTTTGGTGCTGTTAGTTATTTCAGTCTGTTCTCAGGTTTTGCATGTTCTATTTATCCCATATCCACCTGTGTAACAGTTATGAAAGTGATTAGGGTTTCAACGTAGTCATTGAAAATAATCTTAACATGGATTTTTGTCTCATTGCAATTTTAAGGTACAATAAACTTCCTCCATGCTGACTGTGATAAATTCAGGCACCCACTTCTCCACATTCAGAAGACTCCAGCAGACTGCCCTGTTATTGCCATCGATAGCTTTAGGCACATGTATGTCTTTCCAGACTTCAGTGACTTGTCGTAAGTATTCTATTTTGTGCATTTTAATTGGAAAAGAATAAAGGAAAAGATATGCTCATATTTTAATCAGTACTATGGTAGGAAGATGGATAAATCTGGGATAAGTAAGTCTGCCAATGTACAATTCAGTGTTAAAGCCTTTAAGCAATATGACTTGGTGTGAGGTCAAATGCAGTTGCATTGCTTTATGCAAGAAGAGAATCTCACGTTAAATTTCAGATGCTGCTCTTTCATTTCCAAGTTTTTCTATATTCCACAGTAGTTAGGCATTCAGAGGCTGGCATGGTATTTTTAGTGATCTAGATACAGCAATTAACTTTAAAAGGTTTAAAATGGAACATAGAAGTGCTATGTTATGTATTGATTATGTAAAATGCACCGTGAAAGAATTCTGAGCCTGCTGATTTGTTTTTTCTTGAGGTGCAATTCCTCATGCCTTCCTGCATTAGTCTAAACCTAGAAAGCTGGAAGAGAGGTCCTTTTTGTGTGGGTTTCTGAAATTTCCATGTGCAGCTTGGATCATTGGCATGTTATCTGGATAAAATAAGTGAAAGAAGTATTGGGGTGCTTAGGTGAAATACCGTGATAATCCTCTTTACATCAGTCTATCTCTTTATGTCATACTGCCTTGGAAGCAGATATTCTGTCTCACATGGCTCTGTTGAGGAGTGAAGATGTGTAAATGTTATCTTCAGGGGCTTTCAGCATGAGACAAGCACTCTGTCTTCAGGTTGTGTGTTCAACTCCAGTTTCTGTCTCAAAGGAGGTACCTACATACACACTGCTTGTTAACTCCTGGTTAGATGCCTAGGCTTTGAGATTCAAATTTCTGCCCGTTCATGCTTCCAGAAACTCAGGGTATTTCATTTTTGTCAAAGCCAAGGATCTGAAGCTCAGACTTAGCGTGCAACGTGAATGTAACCCCATGTCTAATTCTGCCATTGCAGGAGACATTTCACTACCTGAAATATTTATGTTTGGAAGGAGGGCTCAAACCTTGCTTCTCCCCATATTTATCCACAGTATTATTCTTAAAAATGTGGTCTCTGATTGATCTCAAATAATGCTTTTCAAATATCTAAAGCTACGTATGTCGAAACTCTGGTAGTGACTGTTTTTCTCCCTGTGTTCCTATTTGGAAGAGCATGTTCACCACACGTGCCAACACTTTAAAAAACAAAAACATAGTGGGATATTTGCATTTTCAATGCACTCTTTTTATTGCTACTCTTGAAACAGTCCTAAAGTAAATTAGTATCTCTTTTAGGGGTAGTAGATATGTTTAGTTTAGACTTTCATGTACATTTCTTACACATCCTGTTTCTCTGAAGCGGTTGTAGACAATTGCTTAATGAAAAATAATTATTCAACCCTCATCTAGGAGATGGAGCTGATACTTAGAAATACCTAACAAACAGTTTGGAAACAAGGAGAGATTGGAGTGGGTGGTATCCTGGAGTGATATTCTTGTGTGTGTGTGTGTGGTTTGGATTTTTGTTTTGGTGGTGTTTTGTTTGTTGGGTGTTTTGTTTTAGTAATGGGTAAAATCTTAATTCTGAGACTTCCATCTACCTGCAAGGATTTCTGCCACTATAGTATGTTTTCTGGACTCTTTCACAAACTGGCCCCGTTTTGTAATGTCAGTGCTGCCACCAACCAACAGGGTTTGGATATTGGACTTTCAGAACTGCCCCACTAAAAGATTTCCTCTCTCCTTACGGAGTCGTGTTTTTGGAGAATAGCCACTTCACAGGCAAATAAGAACAGCCCCCAAAATTTTGTCGTTATGCTTTGGCCACCTGGCCCTACTTATTCTGCTGTTCCAGGTTGGAACTGATAGCAGGGTTCAACAGATCAGTTGTAGCTTCACAGCGGGAACTGGCTGAGCTGCAAGAGGCTGTAGGCACTGAATGCCCTTGCTGCATTAGGAGAGGAGGAGAGCTTGGAGGAGAATGTCTCCAGCAGTGTACCTGACCTAGAACAGGGCAGGAGCCCAAGGTAAAGCAGGAACCAGGGATTCTGCTGCCCCTACAACTGGGTTGGAATGAACTCCATTCTCTCCATCAGTGCTAATTCCAGATCTTACCTGGGAGGGCAAGAGACTCCTTTAAGTACCACTGTAATACTGGTTAGTTACAGATATTGCTGTAGTGATACCCATTGACTATATTATACTATATTTTATCCATAGAGTTTTCTGATGATCTGAAATGCTGCTGGTAGCCCATCTGGCCACACTTTGTCCCTCTTTCCTAAACATAATAATTGGCCTGATGAATGATTCCCTACAAAACCTGTCTCTTTGTACATTACCTTTTGATTGCATGCATAGTGCTCACATTATATTTTTTAATCTCATCTTTAATACTTACTAGTTCAACTCTTCATTTTAAGCTTTTTTAGTCTATTTGACGTTTCACAAATAAAATTGGATGCTGTAGTTTAGCACATTTGCTGTGGGTGACAGTAGATGATCTCGGATTAGATTTACATTGATATCCTCTTAGTGCTTATCTCTAGTGTATATGCAGTTGCTCAGGCACTAGAGAGCCTTTCAAAGATGTTTTGTCAATACTGCTACCCAACTGTCATTTGTATCTGTAAACTGTGCATTTGGAACCTGCTGTTCCCTCTTACATTATGGTTCGTGGGGAGCTGGAGTGAGTATACAATGAAGTTATTGGCCAGTACAACGCTGTGGGAGTTATTGGAAAGATGAAATACTTGCTGTGTTCTCAAGAGACAGTGGAAAGAAAAGGAAGCTGGTAGGATACCTTAACAAACCATTTGGCTTCCTGTCCTCTATTAATCACCTAAAAGTAGGCATAGTGTGCTAGACAAATAGAAGTTGGCTACTGTAAACAGTGCACTTTAAATCTTCTGTATATGGGCTTAACTTGTAATAAATATGTGGGTATTTCTGTTGGATTTGTTCCAGAGTTCCAGGTAAACTGAAGCAATTTGTACTAGACTTGCATTCTGGAAAATTGCATAGAGAGTTTCACCATGGCCCTGATCCAACTGATGTAGCACCTGGTCAGGTAAGGTTACAACAAATACGTTTAATTTGGCCGTTTAATAAAGACCTTTTTTTTACTCCTTGTCAGAGCTGTGCTTTCTAACATGAATGTACTTTTAACTTCACTCTTCTGAAGGAAAAATGTGTGTATAGAAGCATAACGTTGCCACTTCTTGGCTTTTCCTTTAACTTCCTTGGGTTAACAGCAGTGAGAGCATTAGGGGGAAGTATGGTGCCTGTTGCCTCCAGTAAGGCAAGAGGGCAGGAGTGTAAGAATACGCATTTTCTCCACTGAAACAGAAGATCTTGGGCTATATCTGACTGTTCTGAGTTCATAGAGCTGCTCTTATGTTCTCATGTGATTTCAGTGCAGAAACTGATGATACATCATAGATGCATTATTTCCCGTATGACACACTATGAGGGGTGCTTCTAAGGGGAAGCACCAATTGATGGAATGTTTTACATATTTACTTGTAGTCACCAATCCAAGCAGGAGGCAGATTATTAGAGCATCAACAAAAGACTGATAAGCAGTAATAGGGCTTATTACTTCTATTAATACAGTTAACCAGTGGCATTAATTGTGGTCACAGCTGCATCTGTCAGTTTGGATTCCTCACAGTTGTGCTCAAAGGTTGTCATGCTATATGATTACATGCTATATGATTACATGCTATACGATTACATACGTAGAAGTTGCTCCTGGGATCTCTTCAGGAACACAGCTTTCTCCAGACAAAACTCAGGAGAACCTCAGTGTTTAGTTTAATCCAAGAGGCAGGAAAGAAAGGACATTACCAGCCCAAATTCCCTCTGCTCAGCCTGGTCTTCTGCCTTTTGATCTTCTCAATACACCATTCAGCTCATACGCTTGGTGTCATGCTGAGAAGTGCAGATGTAACAGCCTGCCAAGCAATCTTCTCATAACTCAGGCACTCTCTAAAGAAACTACTGGTTTTAAACACTTAAAGTTACATGTTTTATTGTCTGGGGCTCAAAGAGCCACGTTAGTCCCAGAGGAGACCTGGTGCCATGCTGTTGAGGTGCCTTGGGCTGTCCCAGGACCCATGAGCCGGGTACAGAAATGATTTATGGCTACAAGCCCGTTTTCCTGGTCATCTATGTGATAATCTGTGTCACCCTGCTCAAAGTTGAAAGATTTAAAAGCATTTAAACCCTGGAGGCTTGCCCTGGGCCAGGAATATGACAGCTTTTGAATGTTGTCATAACTGGCCCTGAAAACATGTGGGCTGAGTTGTCTCACAGTAATTCATTCAACTGGTAACTCCCTGGAGCAACCAGGATTCAGATCAACAGGAGATGCAGAAAACAGGGCTGGAGACTGAGGTATAGGCCAGGCAGTTGGTCTGACAGGCGTGCATAAGGAAGAGCCACTAAGGCAATCGTAATGTGGAGGAGGCTTGGCCAGGGAGGGAGGGTGCTTGCTGAGTCCCTGGATCCTGCTGCCTAACTGGGCACAGGCTGGATGCCTAGAGCTGCAGACGCACTTCCCTCCATCCTGCCTTGACAAATGCACACAAGACCGGGGATGTTCACTTCCTCATCTCTGTACGGCATCCTGCCATCTTGTGGAAGATGCGTATCCATGTGCAGTGGAAATAGTGGCCTTCGCTGAGCTGCTGTCTTAGGTCATCTCTGTCCCTTGAATTGCATCGTTGTTTGGTTGCTTTTTTCAGTTTCCATAGAAAAGTTCTAGAAGATGTGGGCAGTGATGTCACAGTGATGTTTGCCCTGGTGTATCTCAAAAGCAAGCACACAAACTCATACTTTCAAAGCAAGTGGTAGATAGACTCAAAGATGCAGTGGGGCGCAGCTGAAAAACTTCTGAGTCACTTGTACAGAAACTTGTGTGATGGCCTTAACCTTTGAGATGTGCCAACAAGAGCAATATCCTTAACTGATGGTGCCTAATTAATGAATGTATGTATGCGTGTTCCACCTACTTTTGGGACTTAAGAGTCTGCCTTCCAAAAACACCTGAGTTGTGAGACTGCTGGACATCATGCAGTCCCACAATTAATGCTAGAAGTTCATTTAATAGAGGTGATTGATTACTAAACCGAGTCTAACAAGCAATTGTACTGTTTGCTCTGTTTTTCAGCCAATTCAGGATTTAGCAAGCAGCCCACCAGAGAGCTCATTCCAGAAACTGGCACCCAGTGAACATAGGTACACCTTATTGAGGGAAAAAGATGAACTTTAAAAACTTGAAATAATCTTGCAAGCCTTTCAGACAGCAGCATTGACTTCTGTGTGGTGGAAATAGTAAACCTATATTTTCATAATTCTATGTGTATTTTTATTTTGAATAAACTGAAAAATAATTTTTTCTCCCCAGGCTTGTAAATACATTTGTTTGGTGGGTCACTCTGTACAGCATCTTTCAACCAGTACGCTCTTAATGCTATAGTAAAATAGCAGAGACCCAGCCAGACTCTTGATCTAACTCTGTAAAACTTTTATAATCCAAATGAAGGTATCCTTGCCAGAGACATGCTGTTAACTTGCACTATCCCATTAAATAGGACTTTTGGGTTGTTTTCTGTGTAACCTTGGTAGTACGTGCTTCTTTCTTCTTCTCTTTCTTCTTCATGGTAACAGCTATCCTGGTAATCTATTTCTTTGTCACATTTTTCTCCAACTTAGAGGGTCTTCTATTCTGGATACTTGGGAGGGGAATAAATTAAAGTTTTACAGAATCTTGTGTGGTGCTTTACTGGGTGTAAATGTCTAAGTAACCAAACAATTCTGACTATTAAAATACCAAGCGAGGAAAGGGGAAGTTTTAATGATAATGGCTGTACCTGGAATGAAAGGGCTGTGTTGGCTCGAGTCCCTGGAATTACCAAGGTTGTTATCTACACAGCTGTTAGAAGCACATGAATGCTGGAAACCCTTTAGAGTAGGAGAGGACTGGGGGTGGACTGGAATGCTGTCTTAGTTTTGTCAGTCTTCAGTTAATCTCTGTATGTGTGTTAAGATTTACTTGGTTGGTTTTGGTTTTTGTAATTTGGGTCCCTGCCTTCCCGGCAGACTTCCCAACCAACCAGTGCACGTTTTCTTGTTGTTCTTTTTGTTTGGCTTGTGCCTTATTTATTGCATGTTATTTGAGTTCTACTCAAGAAGGAATTACTACTTTCCTTGTAGGCTCTTCTGGTATGCCTAATACCGGAATCTGGGCTTCTCTTAATGAATCTTCCAGCTGTTTGGTGAGATGAACATACAGAAACTGTAAGATGGAAAAATACCTGTTAATCTGGGGTGCAATTTGGAGACGTATTAGTTTTGTACGGTACACTTACTACAAAGAATCTAGGTCCATGGCTGTGCCCCCAGGGTTTGCTGCCCTTAGAAGCAAGCTTGTCCTTTGGGCAGGTGGACCCCTGGGTTCATTTTTACTTCAGCAAGTTCACAGTTGAGAATTCCTTCTTCCTTTCAGCTAGATGCCACCTATTCAGTTACTGACTTAAGACTGACCTGGTCTGGAGCAGCTGGAGCAAAAGCGGATCCCAAGAGATCCTGCTGCACCAAGCCCCTGCAGCCCCAGGAATGTGAGCTTTCTAGGGGGTGACTGAGGAGAGAGTTGCTAGGACCAACCACCCCTGAGCTACAGCTAACTGAGCAGTACAGAATTGGTAGCTAAAAAAGTATTCCAAGATTTTGTTTCCAGGTGTACTTTTTGGTTTTGTGAATCTGCATTTTGGAGTGCACGTTAGGTGCTTGAAAGCCAGCTCTTCTCCTGGCCCATTCTCCCATCTCGTGCCAAATCAAATGTTTTTGGCAGCAGTCATATACTACCTTCCGCTTGGAATATAAAAGATGTGAGCAGGGTATGGTTTTAAGGCTGCCACTTGTTATCTGCAGGGGGTGCTACAGAACGAGTTGTTTGGGCACCTGAAGTTTTAGTCAGTTCCTGCATGGGACCTGCAAGTACTCATTTGATCTTCTGAGCTTCCTGTTTTATCTTGGGATTCTTATTTATAAATGCTGCTTGGTGGAAGAAGTCTAAACTTCTCTTTCTGGAGAGAGGTATGACCTCATCATATACCCAACAGTCCAGTGGCTGGCGCTTTTCAGCTAGACAGTGAAAGAGATGAACAACTCCCCCTGCCCTTTCTTTAAGCCAGGTTTGCTTTTCTGAGTAAGGACTTGTTCCCAGAGCTTTGGCATCCCAGCACCACGCAGCCAATTAGATGTAATAGTTTTATGATAGTTACACACTCAAGTCATTTCACTGCGTGTTTCTTGGGAGCTGGACTTGATTCTCCTGGGTCCTTGATGACCACTGACCTGGTTGTAGAACTAGCAAGTGATTTTGCTCTCTGCAAGCAGCAGGTTAACAGCTAAAGTCTAGGGTTGCTTGCCTGACATGATGCTGAAGTAGTGCTTGAGCTTTTCAGTACCTGATGATACCAAGAATTTGTCAAGAGACCAAGTGTTTTAAATTGAGCCCTTCAGCTCTGATCATCTGCATGAAAGGCTTTACCCATCTGGTGCCCTTCAACACTTGTTAAGGCTTTCCTGGCAAGTTGTCACAAATGTAAGTCTTATCCCTGGATGGAACAAACCCATTTTTAATTGAACTTAAGGAGTCCATTTCTGAGCTAGCACATGTGCACAAGTTACTACATGCATGTGATATTTTAGGAATTTGTGTTAATTTCAGTCAGTGTAAATATTCCAATAGCTGAAGCATGTTTGGTAACTCAGTATAGAATTCTTAGATCCTAGTAATGGAGGTATTTTAATAACATTTGTAAAGGATTCATCTTTTAATTTCTTAATTAAGAAATTAATAAGAAATAAGAATTAATTAAATTTCTTAATTTTATTTCCTCTTACAGGAAATAAACCCCAATGTTCTCAGTAAATGCTACAACCAGTCTCATAGGCAGAAAGTTTTATTTGGGCTGAAAGAATCATGTATATCTTACATTTCTTCTAACATACCTAGCACTTCAACTGCTAGTTTGGTTACTCGGATACCCATGTTTCTTCGCATACGTAAATAACCCACCAGTTTTTAAAAATCAGAGTTTAAATAAGTGTCTCAAGTCTAGCGTGTACCCAATGTTTTGAAGTTGCTTCCTTACAGACGCAAGGAGGAAGAATAGTTTCTGTGCTGGATGTTTCATAACGTGAGTGCGTACCAGGCTCAGTCTGTAGAAGCTGCAGTGGGAATTCAGGTTTATGAATTCAGATTGTCTTGGCATTCATCCAGTTGGGGAGAGAGGGTAGAGTCCACGATGTCTCTGCTGTGGCTGCTGTCATTTCAATGCCCAAGGCTTTGAAGCATACAGTAGGCAAGCAGACATAGCTTTTGAAAATCATACAAAGGATCAACCACAGTTCCTGATGAAGAACACCTTTCTTTTAGTTTCTTCCTTTAACTGTAGAAATGACATACCAAAGCAGTGAACAGCCTTAGTATGAAGTTGTTACACGCTCATTAAATATGCTTACGTACAACGTCAATGCATTTAAAGAAAAGTGCTTTTTGCCTGACAGGAGCAGATGAGCTGACTGACTGACTGACTGGGCTCGCGTTTCCACTCCAGCTGAGTTTACAGATGTAGGCACTGTGGCTTTAACACACGCACTTCTGACAATGTTTGCGATTACTTGTGAAAACTGTTGTTGCACACATTGCTTCCCTGAGCCTCAGACCCACTTAAAACGGACACAATGCTCTGACTGATAGCAATTTCAGTCACGTTTTAAAAGTACTACGGAAGAACTGTTCAGAAAAAGATATTGTGCTGTAACTAACAGTTGCTTACAGTGTCTCCAGGCTCAAAACCCTTTCATCTGTCATGAGGAGGCAGTTATTCCCAATGATGATATGAAAGTAATGGTTGCAAAAGGGAGCTCTCTCTGTAGCACGCTTACTTGGACAGAGTTCCCTGCCAGGGAAGCCTTATCACTGACTGCTGACTCTAGTGTTCACCTAATAAAACTGAGCTCAAGCAGAGCTCGGGATGAATTGAACAATCTAAAATCTTTAAAAGGCAGCTTCCCAACCTCAGTTTCTGTTCCCCAAACAGTAGCAGCAGTAGTATGGGAACTGTGCTGAAGGATGGAGGTAGAACCATGTACTGAACAGTAGACTATATGACAATAAAACCATGTTAACACTTCCGTATTTAACAATGCAAGGTTCAGAAGCAAAAGGCTTCTTAAGCAGTAAAAGAAGGAGGGTAAGCACAAGAGGCACCCAGTATAAAAACCTAGCGAAAGCACTGTCAGCATCTCACCCCACACAGGCTCCACAGCATGTTCCAAAATCTTGAAAAGGACAAGAAGCTACTCTACAGTGCGGGTGGAAGCACAAGTAGTTTTGGAGCTGAAGGGTATACATGAGGTGTGCCTCTGACCCACACGAGGATGGTTTACTTACTGTAAACAGCATCAGGTTGACATTTTCATAACACAGCCATCCCCTGGGGCTGGCAGCTGACACTGGCACCACTTAAAGGGCCTTGGTGCTGCTGCACCAGCCTGTGACCTGGTGCTTAGTGCTGCCCTTGAGGGATAATGAAGACTACTGAGGGAGCAGGCTTGGCTGCAGAAGCCAGGGAGGCTATTCAGTGATCCCACCACAGCACTGTTGGTGATGGGAAATGAGAAGCAAGGGCCACATCTAGCAGTAAGTGCTGCTTAAGTAAGATGAGGCTTCAGGATCAGAATGCCAGAACTCAGCCCTTCATCCTGTCTGGTGTTCTCAGGACAAGCCAAGGAGTTGAACAGCCATGGAAAATTATTAGTCCCCAGTAGCAGCCATGCAGGGTTGCTCCTTGGACTGTTTAACTCTTAGCTACACTTAAACAAGATGAGTTTACAAACTAAAAAGTAACTGAAAAAGGAGAAAAGCTGCTTATAATGCTGATGTGATTTGGCTGATGGAGGCAGATGTGGGATATATGTAAGGTTTTTTTCCACATTGCTCACCCACCATTTTCACATCTTATGGTAGCTACTGCTTCCCTGTGCACTACTGGACAGGCATAGTCAGTAATATCCTGTGGGTATACCCAGGAGGAGTTTGGAAATCCAGATAAATGAAAATATATTTAAAGTACTTTGACCATGAAAGATAGATGGAGCTTATTTCCTTTTCTTTGGAGCACTGCAGTAAAAGCTCCGGCTTTTGGATGGCTTTCACAGGAAAGCACTAGGGTTTTCCAGATATCTCTTGTTGTATTGCCTGCAAGACACTTTGTGCAAATTTGGCATGAAGCACCCGTTGCCCATCACTACAGCTGTGCATAGAGCTCACCTAAGGATTTCATAATGAAAAGCTAGCCATATAGTTTTCAAAGGACTGATGTTGCCACATCCGAAAAGAGGAATTCTGATGTTACTGCTTCACCCTCCCAAGTAACAGTACTGTTGTCAAAATTCACACAACTCAGCCTTGTATGTAAAACACAAGGCTGCAAATCTGTCATTAGCGTGGCTACCGCACTTCTGTTCCTAGTGATGAAGCTGTACTTCAGCTGGACTTTTTGGCACTTTGGTGAGAAAGCTCTGGACAGCTGGAAGAGCCCTGCTCCAGCATTTTTTGTTTTTTTCTCTGGATCAATTTTCCACCTGTGAAACCCAAAATCCCACCACCAACTGCAGCTGCAATTCCTGCCACTTTGAAGCCTGCAAGGAGACCAATCGGGCCCCCCACCACTCCACCAATGACTGCACCTGCCACAGGCAGAGCTGCCAGCTTGTATTTTGCAGCCTGTAAAGGGAGAGAAAAAAAGAGACAAACACAAAAGAGTTAGAACACTTGCCTGTGGTGATGTGTGTTTTCCCCTCATTGCCTTTGGCAATGACTTGAATGCTCAGTGCTAAATAAACTTTACAAATTAGTATTTTAAAAATGATGATCAACTCTCCCACATGTATGACAACGTACTAAAACCAAGTCAAAATTGAGCTGTCTCATGTATGCACACAGTTGCGAACCAGGCCCTTTTACATGGATCTGGTTGATGATGCACATATTGCAACAGGTTGCCCAGAGAAGCTGTGGCTGCCCCATCCCTGGCAGTGTTCAGGGCCAGGTTGGATGGGGCTTGGAGCAACCTGGTCTAGTGGAAGGTATCCCTGCCCATGGCAGGGGGGTTGGAACTAGATGATCTTTAAGGTCCCTTCCAACCCAAACCATTCTGTGATTTATTTCCTGGTCTCCATCATTAAACCAAATGAGAAACTGAGCAAATGCTCAGTAACACGCCTGAATCTGGATCTGTGGCTTATCTGCAACTATCACTGACATCTACACAGAATGGGATTGAAATTGCACGTTATCATCAGCCTGTAGTTTTACGCTTGTTTGATTCTTATGAGCCAATCGCTGACTGTGCTCATCTTTGCAGATAAACCAAAGTAGCATCAGAACAGCATAAAAAAAGGCAAAAGAAACCTGTATTTCCTAGTAGCCTGGATGCGATAGAGAATTACAAGGGAGATAGATTGATTTATTCTTTTCCCTGCTACCTGTGGGTCATTTCTTCCTTATTTCCTTAATTGCTGGCTCCCTCAGCATTAAAGACGGCAGATCAATCGGGTTAATACCGAGGATTGCTGGGAGGCAGAGTACCATTGATTCACCAGCAGGAGCAGATCCCTACCTTCCTCAAGTTTTTGGTTCCCTCTTCAACATTCACAGCAGCACTGTTGACATGGTCTTCAATCCTGTCAATCTTCTCCTGCTGAGCCTAGATGCAAAGGAATTATGAGTGAGGGGACCTGCTGGGAAGCAGCAGTGAGCCAATACACACCATTTTAATGCCTGTAATCAGGGCCCCAGAGCCGCTTTTCATCTGCTACACACCGCAGCCGTGCAGCCTTCATGGTGGTTCATTAATAGCATCGGATGAACTGTGCTGAAACTACAAACTTACTTCAAAAATAGCTTAACTATTAAGTAATAATATGGGGTGGGTATTATACAATGTGTTGCTGCAGTTAGAGGGGAAAAAAACCCCCAAACATACGATTTCTAAATCTTTTCTGTGAATAGGTGAACTCACATTCCGAAGGGAAAAATAATCCCAACTAGCCTTTTTGCTTCCTGATGAGTTTCATGTACCAACTCCAACATACAAAGCTGCACAAAGAAATCTAAATATGTGTTTAATTATGACAGTATAAAATGCTGACTTAACTTTACAAATTGAGTAGTGACAGTACTGAAAATACACTTGATGTTGGTCTGCATCGTACTGTTTGAGTTTCAAAAAACATTCCCTTTCTCCAAATGCAGTCGAATTCCCCTGCAGTCTCCCAACAGAGAACAGTGGAGCAGAAGATAAAGGGGTTTGTGGGTTGGTTTGTTCTTATTTTAATCTCAGCAGTACCCAGGCCGGTTTGTGTCACAAAATAATGCCATGGTTAATGTTCAACTTAAAAGAAGAGGCATTCTGAACTCGTTTCCTTCTTTCTAATACAGAAACTGGTATCTTCCTCTACAATCCAATCCACACACTTCAGATGCTTGCTGTTACATCGAATGACAGTAAGATGTAAAATCCAGAAAGTCTTGGGAACAGGAACTCCCCCTTTTTAGCTAAAACTGCTAACTGGGCTACTAAGTACCGATTTCTGCAGCCCCTCTCCAGCCTAATGAAGCTTAGGGAGGGGGGTTTGTACACATGAAGCAGCACATACTCAGCAGAAAGGCTAAAAAGCAGTTTATCCCAACTAACCCAACAGTCAGAAGATTAAAGAACTCCGCTGGGAGATGAGAATTGTGGATTTAAGTTCCCCGTGGCACAGGAAAAACTAGGCACTGGGAAGGCAGTGTGGACGATGAAGACCTTTTGGCAGCTTTGTGGGAGCAGAGAAGGGGCCTGACGAGGGTGGGGGGAACTTCAGAATTTTCTAGTACTCCTGATTAAGTGAGAAGTACCTGAGAAGCACCCGCCCTGTGCAGTGAAGGTAAAAACAAATGGGACCTGGGTACAAGCCTGGGGTCAGCACTGCAGGGCTTCCGCTGAGGCTTAGCTCCTGTCCAAGGACACATCAATAGGTGCTCCAGTGACAAAGGCTTAGGCACAATAACCAGCACTATTGCTGAAACAGAAGACTATTGCCTCCTCATACAACTACTTTAACAGAGCCTGAACCAACAGGATAGCCACAAATAAAACTTTTAGCACTGAGTCATGTAGGGAAGGAGGAGCTGAGGACTTTAACTAATCCTTTTGAATATTCCTCTTCTGTTGGCACTTGAAAATCAAAAGATTTCACCTTAATGCTAGACAATTTGATGTCAACATTGATGTAAACACCTACAACTCTGGAAAGTATCTAATGTACCAGCATGGAAACTATAGCTGCATCTAACACAGGTCCCAAGTAGCAAAGATAGCACCGTTGTGCAGACACTTTGGCACACTGAGGGGAAAACAGCTCTGCCTCTGCTGGCATTTTCCTGAGGTTCCTAACAGTGACTAGGATTTTGTAGTCCTGGATACTGGACTGAATAAACTCGGCTATTTCAGTTATTCTGCTATTCTGCCACTTTGATCAAGTGATACCAGCTCAGTCTGAGTTCAGACTATAGGCACAAGTATTGCTCATCTTTTTTTGGCCCAATTAGGATTACCCAATTGCTGTGCTTTTGTACAAGACTCCATCTAGGACAGAATGCAGAATTAATACTTACGTTGACCAAGAGAGAGAAGTCAGTCACCAACTGGCTGAGCTCAATCAAGCCCTGTAATTAAAAAAACCCAGATGTTATTTTGCAGTAATTGCTAAAAACAAGAGCATCAACGTGGCGCTAAGGGAGTTCCAACATACCTCTTCTAAAGTTTCCCAGGACTCAGCTGCATTTTCTCGCTGAGGTATTTCAGGAAGGGGGGAGTAGATCTGGATTAAACTTTGGGAGCCGTCCTTCACTTCAGTGTTATGTAAAGTTTCTGAATGAGAAACATGAAGTTCATAAATAAATGGACTGAATCAGAATGCAGGTGATGTGCAAAGTTTCTCACTCTTCATGTTTCTCAAGAATAAATTGATACTTAACCTAATTCAAGCCAAGTGATAGCCCTGAAAATGATTGTATAGGAAAAAGTCTTACAGCAAGAGACACTTTCTGAAAAAGAAGTTATTGCTGAAGAAATGGATTAATTTCTGTCAGCCCACTTTCACAATCAGTTCTGAGAATAACATTACAATTATACTCCTAGATTCAGGGTCGGTTAGTTAATTTTGTATCATTCAAGATAAGAAAACTGAGCTTGGGACAAGAATTTTTCATTTACATATGACATACAAAAACACTATGCTTCCAAAACTGAACAGACAGTTACTCATTTTATGATTAGTATCCTACCAGGTTGATTTTCAGCCATTTAGGACTAAAAGAAGCTGGAGGAAAAAGCTTTCAAAGCAATGAAAATCAAGTAACACAAGGCCCAGCATTCAGTGCTGGATCCAGCTAGGTAACTGTACTGTGAGGATGACAAACATTTGCAGCTCAGCAGGACAAAGGAGGTATTCTCAAGTACCTTCCTTTCTAAACCACCTGGACTGAATGCAAAGGACGTTAGGATGAAGTATGGTGGGAAAAATGGGGAATGAGAGAGAGCTAGGTGGCATGGGGGAGAGCAGATACAATGAACAGACACACACATACCTCCTCCAGTTAAAGAGCCTGGTCTCAAGCCACTAGGGATGTAATGGACATGCGAATGATTAAGACAAGTTATTAAGTGCTAATAAAGAGTAACGACAAACAAGTTTGGCTTGTCACGGCGAGGATTTGGGAATAGCTTTGAGAGTATGAAAAGCAGACTGGAGAATGTATGTGCGTAAACAAAGAATGTGTTAATTTAGACAACTTCAATTTCTGAAGGAAAATGGCTGCTTTAGTAGGTCACTGACGTTTCCTTCCTTGGGAGGGCAGTATCAAGAGAAAGCTTAACCTGGGGAAGGCTGGTTAGATACGTCTAACAATACTAAAGTGTAAATATTGTATTAAAAATCCTTAGAAACAGTGAATGTGCCAAGGTACTGTAATGATATTCTATAACTGTCACTACAACAGATATGAACAATGGAAACCAAATAAAAATAATTATATTTATTTAAAAACCAGTAATAGTGCATGCTTATTCATGGAATTAATTTAAGATAAAATAAAAATGACACATTTTCATAACCATTTGTCCATTTCTGAACATTTTTATCCCAGTACCTCAAAATACATTAAGGACCTAATCTTCATACTCTCAGATCAATACAAGTCTAACATCAATGAAGCTGATGTTCAGCTGTAATTACTAAGTCAGCAGAGTAGCAGAGTAACAACAATGGAGTAAGTGATTTGGGGTTTTATTTTGGGCTTGGTTTTCTTTCTAATTATTTCTACCCCTTTTCCTTCAAGAATGCAGACATGGAAGGCACTTCACCGCCTGCAATCATCACCTGTTCTTCCACAACGTATATTTGATTTATAACATCAGATTAATTCATGTTATGTACTTTTCCCTTTTCAGCAGAATAATTCATAGATCCAAATGTGTTCATTTTTGGAGAAACCAATTCTGTTAAATGTCCTGACATTTAACATGGGCTTTGAGTATTTTATTCCATTTAAATCCTTCACAATCCTATTTCAAAATCAAGTTTCTTCTGCCAAGAAGAATGTACTCTTCCCTTATCAGTCACATGCATGCTAAGTTGGTTGAAATTAAAATATTCACAATGCAAAAGCAGAAAAAAAGCCCACTAAGCAAAATGGCCTCCTCACAAATTGTGTTCCCTGCTCTGTCTGTTCTTAACAATCCATGTTGACCTACTGTCGAAAACCACATCCTCCAAAGTACATAAATGATGCTGAAGTTTTGCATGACACACATTCAAGAGAACTGAAAACTCTAAGTAGGTTTACACTGTTACCATTTCCTAATGACTAAAAATTAGTGGGGAAAAAATCCTCAAGGAAATTCTTTACTCACTTCAAAATACTAAGGGAAAGAACAGGAAGGGTAAGAGAAGGCAAAGTCACGTTTGGGCTGAAAGCGTGAGTAAGAAATTTATATTCAGGAGTTCATGTGTTATCAGGTCTAACCAATTTTAATAGAACTAGAGAATGGAAGTGGCTCCACCACTTCACTTACAGCATCTCCCCAGAAATGCAGTAATACAAAACACCTCCACAGATTTCATAGAGCGGCTTCGCACCTCATTACACTCAAGATAAAAATCTAATGCTCTGGAAGATTCAATATGTTGCTTAAAAGATTTTAGTAATTTTAAGAGTGGAGTCTCACCTTTTGTTAATATTTGTTTAAAATGCAATTAAATTCCGTTTCTATTGGACCTCAGCCGAGGGTGGTGAAGCGGGGAAGGGACTACATCATATCGCTGACATGACTTCTAAATGGGCGATTTGAATTTGTAAACTCCTTCCTTCTCTACCAGATGGGAAGCAACATGCTACAAAGAATGGGCATACTGAAGCTCCTTTGATTAAGATCAGCAGCCAAGATTTGCTTTCAAGACTGCAGCCTGGAAGCACAAAAGAACAGGCAATATATTGCATCTCTGTTAGCAATTCAACAGAGCTGCTTTCGCAGGCAGCCAAACTTGAAAAGAAAAATACCTGTTTAATTGCATTTAATTGTCTGCCTGTCTGTGTATTCCACTTTAAATGGGGTGAATTATTTCCATATTCTCGAGCAGACTTACAGGAGCGTGTCATTCCAGTAATATTTTTCTGCTCTTCTCATTCCAATCTTCCTGATCAATTTCTTGTCTTTCAGAAGTACTGTCATGTTCAGTGTCCTCCAGACCCTAATGCTGTTTCAGATTAAAAAAGCTGTCCTGTTCTTTGAAATTAAACTCTAGTTGCCATTTATCACCTATGTAACTGATAGAAAAGCAATAAGCCAGGACAAGGCCTTTCCAATGAAATACCAGGATATATTGAGAACAACTGCAGAACGTTACCATAAGAAGAGGTATTTTAAATTTAGTTCTCATCGTAACAGAGAAGAGCTCACAAAGAGCCTGGAAGCAATGGCTAATAGTGATGAAGGGGGTCACTGAATCCCTGGTATTCAGTGCATAAACATCTAAAACTTGGAGTACAAGACTGAGAACAATGGGCTCGCCCCAGATGAGGTAGCTACAGATTTGTCAAACTAGATGGTCTTCAAAAGTCCCTTCCAACCCAAACCAACCTATGGTTCTCTATTTGATGTATCTTAACTTCCCAAGTCTTTCTGATACTCCTGCACATGACATTCTTGAAAGCAAGCCCAGTTTTCAAATCTGCTTTTCTCCCTGTTTGACCATGAGACTCACTGACTTGCTAATCACACTTGAAATCGAGTTTTGTAGTTCTTCATGTAGCCACAAGAAGGGTCATGAAATCAAATTTGATGGCAGGTTCTTCTACAACTGAAAATACGCTTTTAAGACACATGAAATTTTCCAACAAATTTAAACAATACTGCTACTGCAGCAATCAAACTAACTACTGTTAGGTGGAAGGATTTAATCCTGCTGTATCAACTTTCTCACAGATCATTAGCAGAGAACACTGGCCAGTACCACAGCATAGTAAGGGCTTCACCTGAAGACAGAATGGCAGAACAAGGAATGAAGGACATTTTGTACAGAAAGCAGGGAAGAACAGCAAACATGTTGACTTGTAGCATGTTACAGCATGTTTTCAAGACCTTTTATTTACATGGATTTATATTGTTTTCTGCTTTTCTGCCAGTTGCCAAGTTGAAATGCTACAGGAAGAGACCTTCTCCTTTATATAGAGGCTTGCTCCTCTTTTCCACACATTTCAGCAGCAGCGTATTATACTGTCTGTCATATAAAAATTGTTTTCTTCTTGATGTTGCAAGCACTACTTCAGTGAAAATGGCCTAAATGATTATTCACACATGATCAAGTGTAATCAACCATTCTGCTTCCTATGAACAGTCTTCTATTTCAAGATCCAAGGCTACAGGATCTTTGTCATGAAAGGCCATTCTCCACTTACCAAAACTCAGCCACAGGTCTTGAGAAAAGTGAGGTGT